CCATTTTTATAAATATATCTAAAAATTAAACATGGAGTATTGGAGTCGGTTACGTCCTTGAACGGTCTTGAACACTTAAAAATTTCAAAAGAACTACAAATTCTAATGGCATCGAAAAATACAAGATGGGCTTGCAGAGCTTAGGTAATAAAGAGAGTAATGGGTACAACAGTTAAACACCGAAGTGAATAATAGTACTATGTTCATAAGAGTAATAGGTATTTTATATTAATTTTGAAAACACTCAGGTACCCAATTCAGGAAAATTGGTTTGGAAAAAAAACCGTATAGTTCGCTATGCTGTATAACTTGGCTTGTGCCAAGTGCACCTCGTCGGCTCGTCATTGAGTGGATCACTGCATACAATAGTGTAATAGATATTGTGTATTAACTTTTAATAAACAAAACGATTTTGAGCGTAACTTCCATATACATAATAATATACACTATTATTTTTTTCTATTCAGTATGTTTAGCGTTACATCATAGGATCAAACGTAGAAATAATTTATGTGATTAAGCATGTAAAAAGCTCAAAATAATAATTATAAAATGTTATTACCATAAATATTGTATTAAATCACTTATTTATTTTGGCGTACACTTCAMAATGTTAAAATCATTGAATTTCAGAATTATAAAGGAAAAAAAAATAAAATTCGAATTGGAAAAATCGTGTTTTCGACGTTTTCCTGTCATTCTATGATAATATTTCCTTACATATTTATCAGACATTTAATATATTGAAAATTGTATATATTTTTACCGGTAAATAATTTTATTTACCTCTACCCTCCACCCAAGAAGAAAGTGAGTAGGTAACCGTGGATTTCAAACCGTTTTAACGACATCAATATAAACGTACTAATTATAAAATCACTAGTTTTTATCGTTCCTCCCAGAATCGAAATGTATGACATACCGTTTATACTTATATTAATAAAGATCTGATTGTGTGTGAATATTTCAACGACCAAGAACTCAGTAAACCATTTACACTTAAACACAGTTATCAAAATGTATAAATTATTAACGTGAACAAAATCTGAGTTAAGAAAATGTATCATATTTAAATATTAAATTTATTACTGGAATATATAACCAACTTTTAAATAACTTTAAGTGATATACAGATGTTACGTATTAATCATGTCTACATTTTTCGTAATTTGTAATTATTGATCTATTATATTTTATATTGTAACTTTTTAACATGTAATGGATTTTTGAAGCTACGATAAAAAGGATAAAAGATGTAGGTATTCATATAACTTTTTTAAAATTCAAACTAAAAATGTTACTTTAAACTATAATAAAAAACAAAATGTAAATGATTAAAATCCAGATAAAGTGTTACTATTAATATCGGGTTTGCTACTTCACTGGGCTATTTATTGTAATTGTATAGCTATAAGTAGTAAAAGTAGTAAAATGGTAGGAATACCATTATAACAAAATGACGTATATGAATATGATCACTGCAATACCACACACGAAGAAATCATTATCATACAGTGGTAAATGTTGCATTTTGAAAAAAAAAATACTAACAGCAATAATTCAACGTTTACGACGCCGTGACGATTAGTAGCCTAATAAAAATTTAAACATTTTAAACTYTAAGATACTTGTGGGTTTCATTTATTATACACGGAAAAAATAAATTCTACAGACTTTTATAAACGTGGTGGTAGACTATAGGTACTTATTTCGCTTATAAAATATAAATTGGTAATCCCTGTAACATCCTAGAACAACGACGAAGCGCTTTCCAAACGTTTGGTATTGATTTATTATTATAATTTATATTTACATTACCCGTATTGTGTCTTCTTCAAAAATGCAACACGCCCGGCAAGTTCTTTTACCCGGTCTTGTTCCAACCCACAACTTTTTATCATTGAGATGCCATAAACTGTCAAAGTTTCCAACCACTTCAGTAAAGTTTCGTCACTGTAACAAATAAAAATAAAAATTGCATTACCTACGGATCAACACAGGCAATAATATATAGTTTGAAGGAGAGAACATATATTTGTTCACCGATACTGTAGTTGTGAGTAAGTAAATGATGTATATACCTGTACAAAATATATACTCTTACGAGGATTATATTGTATGCATTAAAAAAACGGAAAAYATGATTTTGTCTCCTCAAAGGCGAACGACTTTGATAATTTTTGTATCAAATTTTAGTAATTTTCCAACTATTTGAATTTTTAAATACATTAATTCAGAGAGTAACTAAAAAAAATTTACTTAAATAATTTACAAGAATGTTGAATTGACTTAAGCAAATATTATAGTAAATAGTTTGCATATTTTCTGGTGCTTTATTTTTTACATACTATACGGTACTTATTATTATTATAATTTTTTAAAATTTTTTTTTTTTGAGGCTCATACTTTCATTACTTCATTAGGTATAAAATATTTATTTGATTTGGATTTTTTGATGGCGTCTCACTCCATAAGATATGTAGAAATTAACAACGATTAAAGTATTTATTTGATTAAACTTTATTATGCCACAAACTAGTATACATTAATTCGGTAGTTTGTAACAGCTTTTATTTGGCAACGTTGCATGCAAATAAAAATATTAAATAATAGGGTATGCTTTAAAAAAGTATCACTGATAAAGATCCCGCTCAATTGCATGAGAGCCATTTCTATGCACATTTTAATTTAGGTATTGGGTCAACTGGAAACAGGCCAGTCGAGACCTTAGCTGAAGATCCAGTTATCGATTATTTCACAATATTTTATTTTTTATTTGTATTAAGCACAACATAAAGAGAAATGTATTTTCAATTTACAGTGTTGGGTTTAGTATGTTTGATCACGTCTGGCCCGCTGTTGCATTTTTTACACTTCTTCCATCCAGTGCGCGTAGCCAACGCAAGCATGCTTGAGGGGAATAACTAAAGGTTGCTCTGAAAAGGGAAATTTTGATGTTTCAATAAGTGTCGGGTGTGGGCTTCTGGTAATACATTGACGAATTTTCATTGGCTCTGAATTCGTTATCTATCTCTTGTTACTTTGTTGATTTTGGTCGTGCTCTCTTTGGAGATCGGTTTCGGTTTATTCATCTGGCGGCTGGTCCGGTATGTTATTTTAGTCATCAATTCTTTCCGACTTGTTTAAGGTTTGTTTCATTTAACATTTTTTTGGGTGGGGTCTCTTCTGTTTCAATTTGCTTTAATTACTTCTTCTTGAATATTATATTTAGTTTAAGAGCGTATTTAAATTTTTTTTACTGAAAGTAACTTTGGAAGTATTGTCAGGTATTTTCCAGTCCTCAAGCATAGTCCGATGAGATCGATTTTCTGTTGTAGTTATTTGATCAATTTCTTGTTAGTTAGTTTAAATTAAGTTAAATTTAATGCAAATAAATAAATGTTGGTTATTTTTAGTTATTGTTTATTATATTACATATATTCGTGTGCGAGTAATAATGAACTATTTTCTTAAAGTAATTTTAAAATTTTAATAATAATAATAAATTCTATATATAACCATTTATAAGAGCATTAACCTCTATTTTTCTCTTTTAATTAAAAATTACAACTATCATAATTCATAATAGTTTTAATAATACATTAAGGAAACACAAAAGTTTTTCATGATAGATAAAAAAACAACCACAGTATAAAAGCTACATGTTTTATAGCGAAACTGTATATTATTTCATTATCAAACTAAAGAAAATGAACTTAATTTAAATTTATTAAATGGAGATTGTTTTTTAATTAATTAAATACATTATTGTCAAAAATGAAAAATTTAAGTAATTTATAAAAATAATAAATATTTATATGGACAATATTCTATAAATATTATTACTCATATTGAAAGCATAAGTAATATTTTTGAACAACCAAGTTGATGTAGGTTATCATGTTGTTTTTGCTTATGATCTTAATGAGGTATACTGTATCATACAACCATCTACAACTCATTTATATACTGAGTATTTAATAATGAGTAACCAAGTAATCAATTCCTACAAAAATAATTGAATATTCATAAATTATATTATATAGTTTCTAAYTTCACCTACAGGGGCTCAACATTGAGTTCAAACTGATTACAACGGCACAACGTTACTGGATATGCATTGAGGCGGTCTAGACCATATTCCTACAGTAAATTATGATAATTYCAATACCTAACAAACATCCAGTCAATAACTACTCTAATCAAGGTTTACCTGAAACTTTTGAAAATGGGAAATAAGAAATAAACCTAATCACTTAAACTTAGTCCTTCAAATTAGTAACACCTCTTAAAAACCAGTTTAGACAAAAGAACTATCCAAACCTCCAGATACGACGACAGAGATTTGTACAACTGTTGAATGTTGATAGACAATAATAAAGAAGCCAAACTTCTCAAAGAAATATATATATATATATATTTATCGCTGACTTCGAGACCGATGAAGTAGCTGCTGACATAATTACTCTAAGAGGTAATGAATGTTATACATTGAATGTGTGCTCAGTTTCAAAAATTTATATAACTGTTTTCAAACTTTCAGTGCTCATAAGAAACATTAGATTTAAAGATTTTTTAAGATGATAGTAATTAACATTTATTACCATTTGCCAATCAATAGTTGGAATACATATTGTTTCAATGTAAGTATGAATTTCAAGTACTTGGTCTACCAAAAAAATTATTATGCTTTCATTCTATAATCTAAAACTTTATCTATGCCAAAATATTAAAACTTAACGTTATCTTTATGTATGTTATGTTATGAATACAGTTTTTTTTTATATTTGTAGGTAATTTTTTATTTTAGTCATGGAATCAGGAATATCGATAAAACCTTAAAATTTATATTTTTAGTATATATATTTTGTGAATATATATTAGAGATACATTTTTATTTTTTGTAATAAATAAAATAAAATACTATTTAATTGGCGACACACTTTACAGTTTACAATAATATCTATACTACAATATCATAATATAACTAGCTGATACCCGTGAACCGGGCGGTCTAACTTTATACGGCGAATCTAGATAGTTTCGATATCGCGCCCAGAAACTAGTTCGTGCAACCGTGTCTTCAGTTCCGAGTTTCGATTTTTGGTCCTTCGTGCTGTCCACTTCAACTGATTTCAAATATGTTTTYAAATCGGTGTATGGTCATTGGATGTGATACTACGCACGACTATAAAAGTATTCTTAGACATCGCTTCCCGAAAAATAAGGAAACTAGTGAAATATGGTTTGCAAGAACTGGAAACAATAATCTATTGAACAAAACTCTTCAACAAATTTTTTAATCTTATGTTATGTGTGATAAACATTTTGATGAGTTATAAGAGCCCTAGTTTTAAACTGTTATTTGTTAACTTAAAGAATTTTAAACTATATGCTATTAATATGTAAGCAGAACGCCTCTGGATAGATTTAGTATATAATTAATATGATATTATTTATTTATGTTTTATAGAAATAATCTTTATTGATTCTTCACATCAAACAATTTCTTAAAAYATTGTTTTAAAATATTTTTGTTGTTATTTTAAAATCTTTTCGTTTATGTTCAAGTGGTCTCATTTATATTTATCATACTGAATTCAAATAGCAGAGCTTGTGTTATTGGTTGAGTCATCAAAAAAATTAAAAAGCTCACAAGAAGTTGTAACTGTTGCATGAAAACTATAACATCTGACCAATTATTAAAAGAACATATAATGATAGAAACTCGTCAATATGGCAACTGCAACTTGAGTTATCCAAATTATGTGGCAATGGATATTTTTAATTTTTTCATAGAAATGTTTAATCTCAATTTTGATAAATTTGTA